GAGTCGCCCGGGCCAACCAAGCCTTCCATCCCTCCGGGGTCGGTTAATTGGTACCAGACTTGTCTGGGAGGATAAAAACACTGACTTGTACATCGGCTGGCCCCCGCAAGTCATTGTATAGGCCACATCGCATTCAAACGCCACTACGAATGTACAAATGGAAGTAGAATGCGTGCCGCATCCCAAAAAGGGATTGATCAACGGCAAATGCTTTATCCTTAAGCTTTAACTGAGTTGTTAGAAGCGGCATTGTTCGCTTTCCCAGAGAGCATCTAGAAGCGGCCATCTTGTAACTAGTCTGTGTAAAGCGTTATCATTAAATCGTCAAATTTGTCCAAGCGACCCCTTTTTTGGTCATGCATGGTCGAAAGTGAAAGGGCACATGAGGGCAACCCCATTTTGCGTGTCCTTTCTCGACGGATTTCTCAGCCTTTTTCGCCATTGGCGTACTACTGAGCCTCCCCCCCCCGTTCCCTCAGAACAATCCAGAAAAACATATCGTAATCTTAAAACATTCAAGTGTAGGAAAGGCTATTCGTGGATTAAATTCACATGCAAACAAAATTGCATGAGTAGGACGGTCCGTCGATGTGACCGTTCAAAAGGAGATTGTTGTACGTGCTATCCTGCCATCATGCTGACATACACTGTGGTCCGAGTGATAACGCATCGCACAGAAAAGTCAGCGGATACGAGCGCTTGAATTGAAATACTCTTTCAAAATAAAAAAAAACGAGTGGTAAAGTCACTGGCAACGCGCTCATGGGCGGGGCACAGGTGGCAGCGGTGCACAGAAAGGTTGAAACTCATCAGGGAAGTCTTTCAGGACATGGAGCGCGGTTTTTTGCATGACCTTCTGCAAAATCAAAAGGCGCACGATTCAACTCATTCAACTCCACGGTTCTGAGAAAGTCAAAAAACTATGGGAACCTTGCGGTTCTATGCCCATTGAAGACAAATTTTTCCATTTCTTAAGTCCCCACTTTCTTGAGCTCATATATGTCTAAACTTATTCAGTTAAAGGCACGATTCAGGATAATGCACTCATAGGAAGTGTTTTCGTCATTAATATGGGCTGAGCTGCACTCAGAGGGGTCATGACGCTCCTCAATCGAGATGGCGCGGCAACAAGGCCCCCGGCGTACTGTATTTACGGCAATAGCTGGCTTGCATCAGCTATGCCCGACCACCACTGGCTGGCTTAACGAGTGCAGCCAGGTTGATTGCGTATCAATCGGTGGAACGCCTATTATGTCCGAAAAACTCGTTTGGACGTGCCTCTCACCCAAGCCGGCCTTCTTCATCGGTAGTTGGATCAGAGGTTTCGTTTTCGGCCCTGTCGACGGTTTCTTTCTTGTTTCCTCGCACACTGTCGTTCATTTCGGTCATCCTCTGTGATCTAAGCTGCAGTTCGCCATATAAAGACCCCGGATATTGGGTCCGACTTTTGGCTTTGGCCGATGTCATAGTTTGCGAATCGAGCGATTCGCTAGCGAATCGCTAGATCCGAGCGTTGCGCCAGCGAATCGAACGTTTGCGCCAGCGAGTCGAACGATGTACCAGCGAGTCGAACTAGGTACCAGCGACTCAATAGTGGCGGGACCCAACGTTTAAAGGAAGCCCGCCACTTTCAAACAGTGTCACGTGACAGTGGACGCTGTTTTGAAGTGGCGGGACTTTGCCGTGGACACTGTTTGAAAGTGGCGGGCTTCCTTTAAACGTTGGGTCCCGCCACTATTGAGTCGCTGGTACCTAGTTCGACTCGCTGGTACATCGTTCGACTCGCTGGGCGCAAAGTTCGATTCGCTGGTGCAACGTTCGATTCGCTGGCGCAACGCTCGGATCGAGCGATTCGCTAGCGAATCGCTCGATTCGCAAACTATGACATCCCTTAAAGGAAGCGATCACGCTGGCTTCCACGCTGGATTTGCTACCCTCGCGTTATCAATCGATAAGGTGTGAGGCAGTAATTGTTGGACGAGTGTAAGCCCATGGAAGATATGATACGATGAGATAAGAAGGTGCGGCTGCTTGATAAGAGGTGCACTCCAGAATGAAAACGGGACGATAACGATAACGGTATCATATCTAGCACGCTCTTATCGCACCCCTTTCCACATCGATAAGTCTTGGTTTTTGCTGAACCGGAAGTGGATTTCGGCGCCTTATCACTCCGTTGATAAGGCGCCGAAATCTTTTTCCGGTCAGCAAAACATCGAAATCGAAATCTTTTCCGGTTAGCAAAGACTACCATTATCTATTTAATGCGACAAAAGCTGAGGAGTTATTATTATAATAGGAAAGTTTCACTTCCTGAAGGAATTTTCTGCCGTTTTTTCTGGCAGTCCCAGGGACGCTTGCTATCGTCAGTTTAGTTCTCTACGCGCGTCCCCTCTTACAGGCAAGGAACCATTCCGAAAATCGCTCCATGACCTGAAAGATTCCCTGGTCAGGACTTCCCTGAGTGCGGCTTTTTGCCGCAAAAAGGCCACACCTCGCTTTTTTTGGCCCCTGGCTACTGCAGCAGTGGCGCATGTACTTTCATGCTGCTCACGTTCTTTACTGTCATCCTTCGCTGTGACTTATAACGGTAAGAATAGAGGGAAGTCATAAATCAAACCCACCGTCCATCCTTGACAATGATGAGATCTATTCAGCAACTGCTCAGCATCACCGAGAAGCACGACCATGGTGTTGTTCTTCTCCGTGAACTGAAAAGACGGTGAAAGTGCTAGAATGTTCCTTTTTTCACTTCTGCATGAAACCTACCGTAACGTTGTATGGCAACTCTCCTGCTTTGATGACTTTATCAGCAATGCAATTCTCCAGATTCCCGAACATTTCCTGAATTTGACTCACTAGTTTTCGACCCTGCAAAATTGGTGGTTCAGCCAATTGGCTTTGGTGTGATCACAGATCATTCTGTCTCACAATTGTTTCCTGTGCTATGCGCGTTGCTTGCTCTGCCCACTGCTGCTTTGTGAGGCCTTCCACATAACGAATTTGTGCTTAATAATTATCAATATTTTCAACATTTCTGTGCTTAGAGTAGAAATAAGCCCTAGCAGTGCTCTATGGCTTTTTCTAGAACCAGAAGATTTTTCAAGGAAGAACTTACCTGGATTCAAAGGTAGAGAGTTGAAAATTTGATTGTAGTTTTTTATCTCATAGTCGAGATTGCTTTGTAGATCACTCCATAGGGGATCGTTTAAAGTGTCTTGAACTGCCTTTGTAATGGAATTCGTCACGGAAAGCGCGTTTTCAGATGCCTCAAAAATATACAACGTGATTAAACATTCTAAAAAAAGATAGTTAATAGAGATGGAAGCTATCTGAGATGCGCCACACATTCGATTTCCATCTAGCGGAATAGTGGTTTGTATGCGTGATGGTGTCATGACCTCTGGTCCACTACCAATTCAGAAACGACTCGCCGATTCCAGCATCCGGTAATCAGGAAGGCAAGAGGGTAGTCAATACGCAAGTCACTGCCATGGTGATTCAAATTGTAAAGTAGTCATATCGTGATTTCATGTAGGTGATGTCGTTCAATAAATAATTAAGTATAAGATTCGTGTTGTTGAGAGCGTTCAACCACTCAACCGTCGAAACAGATGGGCTATTCTTCCGCTACTAGCGCTGGCTACTAAGCATAAGTAACTCCTGTTCTTCGAAACGTTTCAATCGTCATAGTTTCAATAATCATGAGGGGCCGTTTGTCCATCACCATCTTTCCATGCCCTCTCCTCATTAAAGGAGGAATTCACGATTAGAATGAAGGTCGAAGAAAGGGAAACTGACCTAGTTGAGGGACCCACGGACCTCCTGAGGGTGCGAACTGACGCGCAATTCGCATGGAAAAATTTGACCTCGGCGACCTATCATGCCTCAAAGCTGGCGGGTCCGGCGATCTCCGCCCACCGATCATCTGATCACTCGCCGTAGTTCAATACGTGGCGAGTGATTAGATAGCTGAGAGAGCGTAGTGTTGAAGAGGGCACAGCGATGAGAGTCGCATCAATGCTCAAATCAACGGGCAAGGAAGGGGTCCCATTTCTCGGGTTCTGGGCCGTTTCTCATGGTTCTTCCTTCTTTCGTGTACCACTCACCATCCCTAGGTTAATTTGAAATGGGTTGCTTTTTCATCGTGAATTCGTCCTTTAATAGTATAACATTATGAAGAATGCGAAACAGTTATTACCAAAAGTTTCAAGACACATCTAGTGGTATACAGCTCTTCTTG